TTATGGACAATTTAAAGTTAACCAAGTTAAATAAATGATCTGTCTTAATAGAGTGCATACATTTTTATACACATTTTAAGAATGCTCATCTTGCTGTTTCTATCCCGCATTTTTTCAATGCTATATCCTACGCAACATCATTAGCTGGGCTTCACTAACAGTTGTTTACTTACAACACCTTTAATGACTTAAATTGTAGCTTAAAAACTTTCAATGTCTACACTGTTTGACCTTGTTACATTTAGCCAAATAAAACTTGTTTTGTCTGCTGAATGCATTGGTCAACAACATTGCCCTGATTAGATATTCAAATATTCAAGGTCTAGAACATGCAAGTTCTAACTGAATGCCTTAATCTTTACTCAGTAAATCAACAACATAATACTTTCACCATTTTCAGAACCTAAAGAAAAACAAGATAGCATGTCAAGACAGCCATAGCAACCAGCGTTTATTCACCAAACAATTACGAAATATTTTACTCTCTCTATTCTCTACCTACATTTCTCTCACAATCAGTCTCTTGGCTCTTATCCTTCCAGGAGACACACTATTCATCGTCTTGCGGAAGCAAAAGCTGATTTTCCTGCACTGGTATCATCACATCACAGTTTTGCTCTATTCCTGGTACTCCTACAAGGACATGGTGGCTGGCGGGGGCTGGTTCATGACCATGAACTATCTGGTGCATGCCGTCATGTATTCTTACTACGCTCTACGGGCCGCCGGCTTCAAAATCTCTCGCAAGTTCGCCATGTTCATCACCCTGACGCAGATCTCCCAGATGGTGATGGGCTGCGTGGTCAACTACCTGGTGTATTCGTGGATGCAACAAGGCCAAGAGTGCCCATCCCACGTGCAGAACATTGTGTGGTCGTCCCTCATGTACCTCAGCTACTTTGTGCTCTTCTGCCAGTTCTTCTTTGAAGCCTACATCACCAAGACCAAATCCAATGCAGCCAAGAAAAGCCAATAAATCAAGAAAATGATTAAAAAAATAATTTAATCGAGGAGAGGTGGGGAAAAACTAAATGGACCAATGATTGGTAGTGGATGGATGAGTCTTTACAGTTAGGGCTTATGAACTTGCAGAAGAAAGAAGCAAAGACCATGAGGGGCTACTATCAAAGCTTGTGCATACTGTACTACTAACGTATAGAGCTAAACCTCCCCTCCACTAGGGAAGCTCTATTGAGCTGCACTGAGAAATCATTACGATTATATCAGTTGAACAAAAAAAAAAATGTGTCTTTATCTAATGTTTATGTGCCAAATACAATTCTCTGTATTTAAAAAAAAAAAGTGTATAGATTAAAAAAAAAAGGGATGCAAAATAAATTAAAACAGAATTAAGTCATCAAAATGGACTGGGATATTTTGAAAAAGGAACTTATATGGATAGAATTAATATTTGTGTGGTTATGTCTAAACATTAAATGTTACTGTTGCATTTTTATCTTTATTGATTAGATAGATCGTGTGCGGTAGTTTTGTACGAAAGCCATGTCAATGGAAGACTGGTAAATGTTGAGCTAAAAATGCCACAGTGTGTTCTGTGTTCAGCATCGCAGCACCAAAATTCTCTCAGGTCTTAAGAGTTTTCCATTTGATGTTCATATCATTTTAGAAATAAAAAGAAAACTAAACAAAAAAGCAAAATAGTCAAGGTAGTCAAATAGGCCTGAAATGTTAATGCCATTGGTTTACTCATACACACAAGCAACCACACAAGTAAATAAAAAATAAAATAAAATGAAAGGGGACAAAAAGACCAATGAAGGCCATTTTGAGAGGACACTGGGGCCAAATGATCATCAGAACACCTGAGGCCCTTGTGGAGTATGAATCATCGGACCTCTCTGAATCTGTTTGTTCTGACCTCTGAAAGGCCTGGTCTTCTTCTCATGGCTTAAGGTCATCATTATCATCCATTCCAAAGGCCGATGGCATAGAGAGTCTAGTCCTGCCTAAAGGACCATGAAGTCAAGCATACTTAAACAAAACCTCTATATCACTGTAACAAATCAGAATAATCTCTGTCACTGAATGGTGTCCTTCGTGCTCTTGTGCATTTGCACTGTATACATGTAAAGCATCTATAGACGATTTTAACAAAGAGCCAAGAGTGCTGAAATAATCACGTGTCTGTGTTTTTTCATTCGATTTCTCCTAGTTTACCCTGGTAGGACTGTGTGAGAGATTCTTTCTGGTACATATTTTGCTCTCGACTCTGCAGGAAAGAGATCTGAACTGTCACTCTTGCTGTGAACAGGCTCAGCAACATGCCAGATGGGAGCACTACTGCCTCAGCCACAATGACATAAGACATAAGTTCAGACTGCCCTGGTTTCTAAAGCCATACTAAGCAGCATGTTATGCATGTCTACTAGGTTGGAGCAGTAAAAGAATGACAGAAATGATGCCAACAGACATTTTAAACCATATGGCAATAGTCTGTTGAAAGTACTATGAAATTGCACTGATCAGAGGTCACAGGCCCATTGAAATTTGACACATATATACATCACATAACGCCATATTTGACTGGAAATCTTTGGATGATGTAACTACAGGAGATAAAGTGCAATGAATACTGCCCGTTGTTAGCACTGGATAATATGGATCAAAGTTTGTAGGCATTAGATTTGAAGTCAGTTTGTTGAGTTTTTCCACTACTTGACCTCTAAAAGCTTGTATCTCCAAACAGACCACAAAACCTCATTAGCATTACATTATACACAGCTATTATACTAAGATATTCTTTCACTGTTATGCTCTGGATGTCCATGAAATTCCTACCAGCAGGGCAGAGGTGACAGTTCTAATGACTCCAGAACAGAAATTTACGGGAGCATCTTTTAGACACACTAACACAACATACATTGGATAAAGGTATATGTTAATACCTTGATTATTTTATTTGATATAATTGCTTTTTGGCATTATAAGTATTTTGCATTATTCTTAGACATTGGTTCTCAACCAGGTGACTCCCTAAAGGGCCTTTGCAAACATACAGGAATACTAAGTCTTAAAATGCTTAAAAAACACAAAGATGTATAACATTAGAAGTTCACAGAGCCGTAGTTCACTGACAAGCTAGGCAATATCGCGTTCATAATCGAATGCGATTCATCTGCGATTATGAACGCGATATTGCCTAGCTTGTCAGTGAACTACGACTCAGTGTAGTAAATGCCGCTCCTTCTGAAAGCAGGTGATGGAGATTTACTACCAATCACGGAACCGGCTTTACTGACGAGATGCGCATGACAATCGCATGCGATTAATTGCACAGCACTACATTAAACATAATGTTGCATATGCTTACGTATATCAGTCACGTATCAGCTTATAAGCTTAAAGACTTTGTCTCAGACAAAGCGGGGAGCTGTAGTCAAAAAGGTTTGGCATTTTAAATGAACAAAAAACAAAATGCCAAACAAAAACAGCGACCAATAAATCAAAAGCATCCACCTTATGCAAGTCACATCTACAGTATGCAAAAAAAAATCCCAAGTAACCATTTTAGTGACACAGACACAATAAGGGTATTCTGATCAACTACGTGTGCTTGAATCAGTGTGCATTAGTGCAGAGGTAGTTAGATTTGGAAATCATTTCAACATACTGAAACTGAATGAAATGGGTTTCGTAAATCATTGCTCGTACATATTTTGCATGTTCAAGTATGTTCCACGTGAGTGATCAGAAGTCAGGTCCCTTTACAGTTTTACTTTCCTGTTAATCCAATGCATACTTATTGCTATTGAAACAAGCAAAATCTGGTGAAAAGGTAAAATTACTTAAGTACAAGAAAGAAAACCAATATGTGAAAACTGTTCCATCTAGACAGGCATTATATATATGTGTATTACATATTCTTATGCAATACTTAACCTCATCTATATAATATACAATACTTCCCTAGATAATATGTTCTCTAAAGTCTAGATCTAGTGTCATTGTCAACTGAGATATTTCACTTGTGACATCCAGAACATATATTTCATTCTTATCTTTGCATTTCAGTCACGTGTATGGCAATAAAGTTTATTTGACTCACTCACTGCCCTATGGAGAATGCCACAAAAAGCCTTAGGTCAGATGTGCCATGCTCTGTCTAGCTCACAAAATATCAGTTATCATTTTGAAAGGTCAAAGACTCCACAGACTGTGTGTATGTCAGTCAGGACTGGTACGGGTTTAAAATTGTACTGCTTCCAGACATTTGTGCATAATTCAAATCAAAAAGCAACTGCAATTAAAGAAAATACAAAATCTGCAAAGTTGAAAAAGCTTGCATATAAATACAAATGAATGACTAGCTAATCTCATATATACTTTAAAAAGGGCATACACTATGTAAGTTCAGAATGGAATACTAGCCAACTAACTAAATAGTGTGCACTTTATACAGCCTACTACTTATTAAAAATAGTAAGTGAAACAGCAAATTATTAAAAAAAAAATAATAATAATAATAAAAAGTAGTATGCTACATTGCCACACAACCATGATGTTTAATTTAGTAAGTGACATCCATTCAGAACTTTTTTGATTTTGCATCCAGGAGCCTGATCAAATATGATTTTTTTTTTTAAATCCTCCTCAATATTATGTCTGGTTAAATGACACAGGAAATGGGAGGTCATTTTAAGGACACTGCATTATGGGGAAAAGACCGTTTCATAACCTCATATTCACACTTCCTTGTTACAGTGCTAAAAGACTTAGATCTTTCAAAACGAATAAAAAGTAGGACCAACCAAACGCAACACAAAAACAAATCATCATCATCATTATAAAGCAACTGCACAAGCAACAAATAAAACCTGCCAGCTACAGCAACTTTAGACAATCTCAGTCACAAAAAGTTGTACATATCATTATCAAAAGCAAGCCTAGTAAACTTCTTTTAACTGCATTGTGAGTCACTTCATTGAAAACCTGGGAGGGAATGATAAGAGCACCAAACAAGCACGTGTTTCATAGCTTACCTGTTCCACATGTTCCTCGATGCTCAAAGGACTGTTTACACCTGCAAACGCGTACTCACGCCACCTCTTGACCAATGCTGTTTGACATCGCCCCCTACTGGACAGGTGATACTCATGCAAACTCGCTCTAATTACGAGACATTACTACAGAAACAAATGTATTTTTAAAGTATTTTTCATTGCTGTGCTTTATTGGTGGAAATAATGGTTGTGGATGCAAGATACAAATGCAGCAAGTGAATCTGTAAGTATATATTAATGGTGCATATGGACTGCAGTCTATAAGAAAATTCTATCTTTTTTTTTAAACCTTTTTTTTTTTTTTTTACAAATAATACAAAAAAAATCACAGTACAGTAAATATATGGATTTTTGTTGATTAGTCTTAGTATGTTTGTTTATATATTTCCATTGCACACATATTTATCTCCATTTGCCCTCAAATATGCTACAGTAATGCAATAAGGGTTCATTCATACCTGGATATGACTTAAATGTGGACTTAATCATTTACCCCTCACCAGAAATGTAAATACAAACTAATAGTTCTTCTGAAAATAGTCTTAAAGTTTTATTTTACATAGAACTTGTCGCCTCCATGGGCGCAGACATGTTAAGAAATTAAAAAGTGGTTAAAAGTTGCAAGTGCCAACTTGATTATACATAAAATATATGAAACGTCCAGTATGTAGTATTGAACGCTTTTGTCATTAATTTATAAATTAATCATGACTGAACTGCAATTATCGTATTTCACCAAATGTGTCAGTAACCGATAAATTTGCATATGCATAAAAAAAAATGACAAAGCACGCTTTTTAAGTTGGTATAATAAATTTGTGATAATAACCTTATATTTTCAGACTACATCTATATACTGCATTAGCCATAGACTCTAAATGAGCTCAAACACAACATGGCACTCTCTCAGAGTCCCCAGCTCACGTCTGTCTGACAGCTCTATTAGGGGACTGACGAGCATCCTCGTCGATAGAATTGAGCCTTAAGCACATGTGCCTGTGCCCAAATTCATGCATTATCCCTTGCACTAAATCTACTCAAAGCCTAGCAAAGCAGCACGGCTCTGGGCAGGTCACAGGCCACAAGGGCGCTGCGCTGACCTGGAGGATCAACGATAAAGCCTTTGAGTGGGCATCTAATGCCTTATTTAGTCTCCTCATCTGTGCACCTTTTGGAATCACCACAGACCAACTGCTCCCCTGTCTGATGGGAGGGAAAAGGATGGGGAAAAAAGAATGCTGAAAGCGAGACACTGATCCGTTGTCGCAGGCCAATCGCAAACACCTTTGTTCACATACTTTTCCTCTTTCCCTCTCTCTCTCTCTCGCCGTCTTTCTCTTCCACTCTCAGGTGGATTAGCTCTCTCATCCGTTGATCCCCCCATTTTAATTCCCTACAGCTGAGAGAGGGAGTGTGGCCAGATTGTTTCAGATCCTAATTCACATTTTGTCAGTTGGAAAAAGTGGGAAAGCACGGCTCTTTCCAGGACATATTGAAATTGTAATATTAGGAGGGATGGCTCACTCAGAAATGTAAGAAATGCATTGTTGTCTTATGGTTATATGAGTCATGTACATTTCATGTCCACTGATAATAATTACTTCTATTATTATATAATTTAGTTTATTTAAATTGCATTGATGTCCCTTTGATTCCAGTTTTTTCAGCGTCCATTTTTTCAAATAAGTTGCCCTTGAGTTCAAAATAATGAACAAAAAATATTTTAAAAAGTCAGTATTATCTGTATTAACACCCTATTGTAATAATATAATCTGTATTGACGCCCTATTGAATGTATACTCTATCTGTGCCCTATTGAATGGTTATCTTGTCCTGGGCAGGTCTTAAAATTTGGAAAATAAAACCTCAGATGAACAACAACACATGACATATTGCACCGTGTCATTGTTTATTTAACAAAAATAAAGCCAAAATGGAAAAGCCATGTGTGGAAAAAGTTAAGACACCCTTACTGTTAACTTATTGTAGGAATTAAGAGGGTAATTAGCAGTCAGGCACTGCTAATCAAAAGTATGGGACAAGTATGGCATGTTAGGAAGGCATGCCAGAGGAAAGGCTCTTCTATCTAAAAAAAACATGGCAGCACGGTTTAGGTTTGCAAAATTGCATCTGAACAAACCATAAGACTTCTAAAACAATGTCTTTTGAACAGGTTTGGTGAAAACCTAAAGAGCACATCAGCACCTCATAGCAAAAGTCACACATGCTGGTGGACGGCTGATGATTTTGGGCTTGTAGCCACAAGACCTGGGCACCTCACAGTCATTGAATCGACCATGACCTCTTCTGTATACCAAAGTATTCTAGAGTCAAATGTGAATTGAGTTGCCCATGAACTCCTCTGTATACCAAAGTATTCTAGAGTAAAGTGTGAGGCCATCCGTCTTGACAGCTAAAACTTGGCCAAAATTGGGTCATGCAACAGGACAGTGATCCCAAGCACACCAGCAAATCTACAACAGAACGGCTGGAAAGAAAAGAATCAAGGGGTTGCAATAGCCCAGTCAAAGTCCAGACCTGGACATCCTGACTGAAATGCTGTGGCGAGAGCTGTGCATAATAATCAATAAACAATCAATAAACTGGAGCAACGTTGTAAAGAAGAGGGGGCCAGAATTCCTCCAGAAAGATGTAAGAGACTGATAAAGTCATACAGAAAATGATTACTTCAAGTCATTTCTGCTAAAAATGGATCTGAATCATAGGGTGTCCTAACTTTGTCACACATGGCTTTTACATCTTGGTTTTATTTTTGTTAAATAAATAATGACACGGTGTTACATGTCATGTGATGGTTCATCTGAGGTTTTATTTTCCACATTTTAAGACCTGCGTAGGACCAAATGAAAAACAAATATATTTGTGGGATTTTTGGTATGATTTTTTTCTCTTCACGTTTTTTTTTTTTTTTTTGCTGTTTAGTGCAAATGAGGCTTAGGACATGATGCACAATGAGCTTCAGATTCTCTTGTTTTATTTTGAGATGTCTATATTTTACAGTTAGGTTATAAATATGCATATACAACATCACATCAATTACAAGGAAAAAGAAGCTGAAAAAGTTAAGAGAGTACAAAAGGCATCAGGTCAGATGTTATTATGTCTGGTCTAATTTATTACATTGTCCTTCAGCGTCCTTGTTCTGGGCTTTTGGTTCAAAATAGCAGATGTAGGTTAAAACCTTATAATCCCAGCATATACATTGGCTGTTAGTTAGATGGAAATAAAGATATAGCTTGCTGCTTTTATTTTCCCATGATGTCTTAGAATATCTGTGAGACATTTGACTGAGGACAGGCAGAGAGGAATCTGACCTACTAAACTTTCCTGTTCTTGAATAATTAAAGCATGATTCATTCACTAATCTGAAACCTTAATTCATTTAAATATTGTATTTCGAGTTTGGTTTATATCTTTTTGATACCAAATGTTATCTAATGTTTTGGTACCTGAGGTTTTAATAGTTGGTTCATAGTAGGATGTGTTTTATGTAGTAATCTCTTTGTGAGGCCACTGCTGATATTAGCAGGTTCAGATATGCCATTGAAATGTTATTCTTATACCACCTGAAGCAAAATAGGCCAAGTACATGTTATTTTCTGCTCACAAAGCAGGATGTGTTTCTCCATTTTCTCTTCGCTACCTCAAACCAACTGTGCTCCATTATTAAAACAATGACCGTTTTCTCAACTATAATACAAAGTTCAATATAAGATCCTACTCAGCAAAAAGAAGAATATCTTTACAATTTACAGAGCTATGTAATTGGATTCTATGTCTAATGGCTCATAGGTGACAATAAACAGCAACGTTAAAAGCAGAAAAACAAGACTCTCTTTAGATGACCTACATTCATGATCTCAACACATTCTATAGCTCTTATGTATTGCATAAAACCATTTGAGGGATGTGCAAATCTCCTTACTTCAACAAATAGTGTCCAGGTAGTAACCTACTTTTGTATGAAATCTGTTGACAAAAAACTGGTGCAACTTGAATGTGAAATCTTGTTCAAACAACATTTTTTTTAATGTACTTTGCCAGTTGGCTGTACTGTAACACTGAAGGGCAATGACTTTAAAATGGAACATATTCACATGATCAGTTCATGGGTCAGTCTCCAATGAAGACTATCGTCTGATGAATCACTGGGGTGTTGCCTGAGGGTCTTCTAAAGAGATGAGATTATCAGTGGTCTTCAGATCGCAGGATACACAGCAACTGGCAACATCCTGACCACAGTTGTCTCTCTGTAGCTTTATAGCCTCTTCTAAAGCAAAACAGTCTCCTAGTTAAAAAAAACACAATATATAAGAACACAGAAAGCTGATGGCCTAATGACTAATGAGATTTTTTTCTATCTATCTATCTATCTATCTATCTAGGAGAAAATAGAAAAAGGAGATTCTTACTGGCATTTGAAGAGCAGGAGGGGCATACTGTTGTTCTGGGACACCCTACAACATGAAGGACCTTTTCATCACCGCAGGGAGAAGAATCCAAAATCACACAGACCTGCATACACACAATATGTAAATAAACAATATTATAAAAAAAAAATGCTTACAGAAAATTCAAAAACTCGCATTAAGAATAAACACCTTACCTGTGGAACAGCTGTTGTTGTCTCCGTCATACTGTCCTCACTCATGCTTATGTCACCCACATCATCCTCTGAGGGACACGTTCCAAAATGTCTTTTAGACCTGATAATGACCACAAAAAAAAAATCATATTTATCACTTTGACTTCATTATATACTCGCTGTAATCAGTGAATGAAAATAAACCTATTGAGCAATTTGTAATGTCAGTTTTACCAATGTAAAGTTTGGCATATGATGTATCTTTTCATTTCATTTATTGTTTTATGGAGACTGAGCTTGTGACATCGTCTGCTTTAGTTATGAAGTCTGTAGATTCAATGACCTTTGAATACATATCTTTTGTTTGTTTGTTTCTGAAAGGCTAAATGTCAAATTCATTGAACT